TTGTTAAAATAAAAAGTTATATTTTACTGCATCATAGTGTTTTCGTTTTATCGTTATTTAAAATAAAAAAAAATCATTTAAATTGAAAATCCCATAGAACTTGTTTATTGTGGTATAACTATATAAGTTGCAGTGGCACTGTTAAACTCAGAATACCCTTGTGATTGGCTTGTGAAAACTAATTTTCCATCATCACTTATGATGTATAAAATACTGAAAACTATCATCAAGAAAAACATAATATATGTTTATAAGTGTGTATAAGGTAATAATTTGAATTTCACTACAAATTTAATCATCATTATCATTCTCTAAACGGCTTAAATATTCATAGAAAACCATTATTATTTATTTTAACATACAATGTTTAATTGAAAAATTATTATGGTTGTAGACAATGTGACGATGGGAACTCTTAAGAGTAGATCAAATCGTATGACACAAAGAGCTCTTTGAGGTCAAATAGTGAATAAAAAACACTGTATCGTTGGTGTATTTCCCGATCCTAGTATTTTTCAGCGCTGGGGCTGAGCCAAAAACTCTGTGCATGATGTATACATGTTTTTATTGATAGTAATCTGATTCAGCGCGAAGCGCTGAACCTGAACTAGGTTCGTAACTTTAATATAAACACTTAAAACAAATATTTTATAACATTTTACATACATTATTTTATTATGAATATTCTAGTTATGATTTAATAAAAATTAACAATAAAAACATATTTCTGTTTTTATTACCGTGTTCATCAAATTATATAACTTACCATAAACAAGAACACTAGAACAGTAATGCAATCATATGAAACTATCTCAATTGGAAATATATGGAAAGTATTTAGTTAATTAATAAGTGTTTGAATTGAATCATATAGAATTAACTGGATCTCATATGAAAAATAATCTTAATTAATGGATGTATAAGGTTCTTATGTAACGATTGAGGACAGATGTAAGCACTCTAATATATAAATATCCATATCTGTTGAAAAAATATTGGAGAATATGGATTAATGTTTATTTCAAATTTTTCTCAAATTCCTCTATAAGATAATAGGATATTTTTCCATTTGTGTATTTCCTTYTCAACCTTACATATCAATTTAGGTTATTCCCCATAAGATGCAGTTAATTTTATATGATTCCATTCAAACTCTTATTAAATTATATACCTGCTACTTCTATATGTGGCCATTCGAGATAACTTTCTGATTATTTCATTCCAGTTCTTGTTTATGGTCCACATTCTTCCATTTAATCTAGAATCTCCCATTTTTTCCAATACTTCCGTAAGATATGGATATTTTTCAAATTTAAGTACTTCCATTTTAACGTTGTACATTCATATATTTATATTATTTCCCATATGCTCCAGTTAATTTTATTTAACATAAACTTAATTATTATGCATAAATAAAATTGCCCTAATAAGACTGAAAAATTGATTTCTGACATAATTTTATTTTTATTTTAATAATTTACAATRTTGATTAGGTTTAATATTATCATTTATCATATTTTAGAGATACCATKGAAACACTTGTTATATAGGTGAAGTTAAATTGCCTATCCAGAATGCCGTGTTGCCATATATTTTTTTTAATTTGTCAAAGCAATAACTGCTTACTAGGTAAATTATAACAATTTTACCTATGTTATTGTATATCAATACAATACCATTGTTAATTTACTTCTCGACCATACATTTTAGGGTCTGTACGTATCATTTTATAATATTAGAGCTTATTAAGACACTCTAAAATGATGTAACTAAATAAGACAGTATGAGTTATATTTGTCCATTATGTTAACATGGCTTCGTTATCTTAAAAGTATACGACAAAAAGCAATATTGTGTAACATACAATATGAAAGTATAATTTCTGTAATTGTACTGTGAAGAATTGTATATTATTATGATATTTATATAACGTAAATCTTTAACTACTGATTATATATGTATGATTTATTGTAAAAGTTTAAACACAAAAAAATATACAAACATTCCGACGATGAACAATAAAAAGCACTTACAAAAATATTGTTATTAAGACACCTATAATGCTATACAGTAACACTGGCATATAATTGGTAAAACTGAGCGAGACACGATGATTGATAAAATTGGTATATTTATGTTTAATGTATATAAATATAGTAATAAGATAGGTAGTAAATATATTTGTATAAATGGCTTAAGTCAATGGCACGTGTGTATAATATAAAATTATGAAATGCGAAAAACGGTTCATCGAATCATATCAAACCATTATACTATGTGATAATAATATTAATATGTACACTTATAAATTAAATGT